TTAAAAGCGTAGCCCAACGGCGCTGGCCAGGCAAAGTTTGGAGTAAAAATCTACCCAAACTATTGCAGGAGCCTCCTTATTGCTACAGAGCCTGTGCACTGTATTGTGCTTCTTCGGACTCAGAATTTAGGTAGAAGAAAAACGGAGCACTTATGGGTTACTACCTGTGTGCTATGATATTAATCCGTTGATTCAACTTCAGTACGGGATGGCGTAGCTAGTTCACGCCCAACCCAACCCCTTTTCCATTCTGACTTGGGGACCGCATTCATTCACCATTGAAGAAAAAAAAAGTATCAAAGCATATCAGGAAACGATTAGTTTCATTACGACGGCGCTATCGTGATAAGGACTTACCCCTGGAGGTTCCGTTGTCTGATCTTGGGGGGTTGGGGGGTGGGGGGGATCGACCCAGAGCTTCCTTAACACTGATGTCGAGAAAGGCAATAATTAAGAGGTTTTTGAAGTCTAGTGACTTCTACTTCTTTTTTTTTTCTTCGCGTTCACCGGCTGTAAACTATAGCGGAAAGTTCTATCTGTTCGTCCACTTCTGGACTGCAGTCCTGTTCCAGAACTCGAGTGTTGCGTGTGCATCTGGTTGACAGATAGGACTAATTTGTTTACAGACTGCTGGTTCCTTGCCTCTGAGACAGTGACACTCCGACTTTGAAGGAAGCTCCCAATTAGTCGACTCTTACGACATGCTTTTGGGCAGGCAGTGGGTCTATTCTTGTTTTCCCTATAACAGGGCCCCAGGACCCACACAGGGAGAAGTATAGTGTCATGGGCGCAGATATCGCAGCCTAGCTCTGTGCCATATTACAGTGTACCGGCCGCACGTATAAGGGCGAAGAAGAAGAACAAGAATAAGAAGACGTTATGGTCAGACACATTTAAGCTTAGTGAGGGGAGTTTTCATGTGGCGAGGTAAGCCGTTTTTCCTCGCGATCTGAAGGTGGTGGGCTCTCTTCGAAACTTTCGCCTGCTGCCTCGTTCGGTTCACGAGTGTGATTGTTATGGACATCCAAGGGGATCGTCGCCGGACCTCCGAGTTCGTGCTTTTGTTCGCCATTCTAAAACAAGCGGTTATCATGCGCCTGGGAACCGAGTACTATCGATTACGTACCCACGTATAAACACAGTTCAGAATTGGAATATAATTCTTGGCCATAAAAAAATTGGTCTCATTAATTAGTTGTCGGACCTAGTATATCCATGATGTCTGTTCACCTGGTCTAGGGTGTATGTTTGTGCTTGCTTCTGCTCGAGATTTTAGGAGACTTTTTTTTCAGGTTAATTTTTGTACATGCTGCTAAATTATATATCTTCTTTCACATCATACATCTCCCCCTCCCACACACACATACCCCCCCCCCCACACACACACACACACACACACACACACACACACACACACATCTAACAAAATTGTGGAGACCCGGAACCCACACAAGGAACGAAAGACTGATTGATTGGGTAGAATGTAGATCCCATAGATACGCTGAAAGAACTGAAATGTAATAGATGAGAGATATGAATTCATATTGGTTGTGAGGATCAAGAATAAGAAGGTGAAAAAGAAGGAAGAAGAAAATCGAAGAGTGAGAGGAAAGGGGACGATGTTGAAAGAAGATTATGAACAAAAAGGTGCTGTATCGCCTGTTGTCTTCCCCACTGTGTGTATCCTCATGATTGTCTGAAGAAGATTATGAACAAAAAGGTCTGTATCGCCTGTTGTCTTCCCCACTGTCTGTATCCTCATGATTGTCTGAAGAAGATTATGAACAAAAAGGTCTGTATCGCCTGTTGTCTTCCCCCACTGTCTGTATCCTCATGATTGTCTGAAGAAGATTATGAACAAAAAGGTCTGTATCGCCTGTTGTCTTCCCCCACTGTCTGTATCCTCATGATTGTCTGAAGAAGATTATGAACAAAAAGGTCTGTATCGCCTGTTGTCTTCCCCACTGTTTGTATGCTCATGATTGTCTGACGAAAAGACGGCAATAAATCTGCGGCCGGTTTGTTTGCTGCTGCTGTTATTCCCCGCCCCCTCTTTTTCCCCAACCGGAGGCGCTGCGGTTCCACGAAATGACAGTACCCTCTCCAGTGTTTTATGTTGATGTTGGCTCAGGCCACACTTTTCTTCATCCGACTCCTCCGCCATCCCAACTTCCTTCCCCCCTTCCTAAGCACTCCAAGACACGGACCCTATAATGTATTCGCCAGCGATGCCCACTCATCGCTTTGACGTCTCTTTCCACAGACAGCCAGAGTTGCGCTGTTGCGTTTGATTCACGACGCGTCCGCCGCGTGAGTTACGCTGTTTCCATCAGTCAGAACAGCCGAGGTAAACCCTCTCCTTTCGAATTCACTCGGACTCTCTCTCTCTCTCTCTGTTCCCCCTTTTGCCCCTCGACGTCCTCCTCGTCTCTGGTTCTGATGCACCAGTCTCGTCGGTAGCTTTGGCAGTCGAGAGCGCTGCGAAGTGGTTGCCAGCATTCCAAGCCCGGATGTCTCTACTGCGTCTCGAGCTATCATCATTTCCTAAGGAACTTCTGTTGCTGTTAATTGTGAACTTGAGGGGAAATAGTCTGCAGAGCTGGTGGGCAGCCACACGTGTCGCAATGACCTGTTGTTTATGCGGATACAAGAAGGGGGCAGTATTTCAACATCAGCCCACCTCTTGTGTGGGAGCTGGTGGCACTTGGCGATTTGTGCACTACGTCCATGCATGCTCGTTGTAAAACGGTAAGTTAGACACTGGTGTGGTGTTCTTTAGTTTTTCTTTAGCTTAGCTTATATATAAGGCCTTATCTGTACATGACTGCAGGTTGCACCTGGCTGGTGTTACCGTTAGTCAGTCATTCACTTTCATGTATGCCTAGTGGGACTTCAGAGATGACATTACATGCCCTCCTATTCTATGCGATCTTCAGTGCAGTGTTCCATGTCAGAGGTGCAGCACTCAGTTCACTTTGCATTGTTCGTCACCTTGTTGTTT